ACATCTTCATGCAAAATTCAAATTCTTTTTTGATGAATTTTTATATGTAAAAGGTATTTGACCTAAAATCCTGTGTAATTTTGACTTTATATGCGTGAATTGTAACTTTCTGGTGCGATTGAAATTTTACCGATAAATGACCAATCACTTTTGTGCCAATCAATCGATTTGGATGATTTTTTCACATGTTATTTTCCTCTAGCTGTTCCATACCAAAGTTTAGCTCTCTATATTATACGGTCGCTTAATTATGAAAGACATATTATAATAAAACGTCATTCTTTTCTGACATGTGTAAAGAAAAGGAGACTTTTTGACTATAATTAACCAAGTGATGAGGGATATAAATAGCGTGGTTTGTACAGCATTCGATGCTCTTTCATAATCTATACTTTATTTAAATTTTATTTCATTTTTATTCCCTTGTTTGACAAGCACTTGTGAATTTTTTTGTAGAACGACACAAACTCAACTCGAGTTATCCTTGTGATAGACCTGATGGCATATAAGTCATATGAGAAGAGGGAGAACTCTTACAATTACAGACTGTTGAAAAAGAGCTCTCTCCTATCAGTTTTCTTTCAGAGAAAACATAATGTATAATGAACTATATATTAATGAAAAATTGTTTAGACCTACTTCCAGTTTTTCGTGTCAATCATGCCAAAAAGTTGCAATTCACTCCAACGCATTGTGTTAGATCAATAAAATTCTATTTTGATTGTATACGAATGAAGAGCACAACCATCGTACCGTTGTGCTTCGTTAAGAAAAATGTCTATCAAGTAATTTCTACTCAATCAATTTTAACAATTTGCTTTTATTGATCTGAAGATAGTCATTCACTTCTGAAGAAATCAAGTTTCCATCTGTTTTAATTTTCGAGAAATCGTAACAACAGTATCAAAAATATCTAACTTCTAATGCCACTTTGTGAAAGAAAGTCAGTTTTTATTCCATTGAAATCTTTTTTTTTTTATTTTTGCAGCTAGTGTGGTAGAAATTTTCGAGAACTTTCAAAATATGTCTTTAGTTCTATGTTTAATAAACTTCATTAATATAAAATTTTAAACAGAATAAAAAAGATAATGTTTACACTGGATCTAGAACGACTTTCAAAGCTGGTTTTGACTGCAACACAATAAAAATTGAACTATTTGCCATAAAAAATTTGATCTTTTTCTTCAGCTCTTATCTTAGCGTAACATTACAAAAAATCAAGGAAAACTCAGTTTTATTAATAAAGTGTGGAGGGACATTTTTCAAAAAAACAATTACACATCAACGAAGCAAGTCTTCCAAATGTTCCATTGCTTTTGAGTCTAGACTATGCGCATGATGTAGATACTTTTCAAATGAATACCGTGGTCCTCTTTAAAAGCATGAGAAAACCTGATTTTGTGATTTCGACTCGACATTTTGTATAAAGACAGGCTTCGACGAGAGTATTTGTCGTAAATGTTTCAAGTCTTGTTGCATTTTCTATCGTAAGATAGAACTATGACAAGTATATGTTTTTTACATCACTAATATACATAAACCAGCGGATTAGATTTTCTTATTTCAGGATAGAGGTAAATGAAAAGATCTCAAATTTTTACAATAAACTAACTTTGTCAAGGCCAACCTCTCTGCAAAGCTTGAAACCAAAATTCGAAAATCAGTCGTTCTAGTACCATATTATTCTCATAAAAAATATTGTAGAAGTACAGTACCTTTGCAACAATAAGCTAAGGGTGCGAGTTCTTGTCAAGGTATTTATAGCTCATATGGGTACACATATTGTAGTATATAACCTAGACTGAAACGCGATTGGACACTTGGAGAACTTTCGTCATAAGATTGATTGACATGCATAAAAAGCAAACAGAAGTTGGTTCTGTATCAGAAATGCTCCGCAATATCATCAATTTTGTACCTCTATGACATCCAAAAAAAGTATCTGGCGCTAACTCGATAAAACTTTCAATGAAAGAATGCATCTATCAGTGTACTATTATCCATAATTGCCGAAGTGTCTTATGAATTTCATCATAATAAAAGATATGTATGTCGATTCAAATACCAACACAAGGACGTGTTGAGAAAATATTATTGTCATAGACATTCGGCATTCTTCTATCAAATACCATAATTAGTTTTCTTTTATTAGCAGATTTATTTTTATTAATTTTTTCCTTGAATGGTACCATGACTGTATTTTTCACTTGTCTATCAAAGAATGAATTCATCATTTTTCATTTCATTTAAAGAAAATTAGATTGTTAAGATGTATATATTTTTTTTTTTTTTAATCGCAAAAAAACTTATGAATATATGCTATTGTCATTGCACAAAATCATTAGTTAAAGGGATAAAAAAAGAAAAAAAAATGAATGAATAAAAAGAACTGATAGTGATGGCACATCATTAAAATAGGGTAAGGAAATATGGTATGCGTGCAATTGAAGAAGGTTGTTTTCTTTTTTTTGTTTGTTTGAAAAAGATGAAAAAAGAAAAAAAACAAAATGTTTTATTTGATGATCTTCTTCTAATTTAGAAACATTTACGATGGACAATTGATGGACCAGCTTCATCATATTCTTGTTTTGAAATCCACATTTGTTGAAATGTTGATAATGAAGCCAAAATTGAACCACCAATCCATACTGAATATTTACGTTCAGGTGGTGCAATAATTTTGATTTTCATTGTTGATGGAGCTAAAGCTGTTATTTCTTTTTGCATACGATCAGCAATACCAGGATACATTGAGGTACCTAATTAAGAATTTGAATTTTGTTTTTATTATTATTATCGAAAAAAAAAATATCTTTTTTTCTGTACCTCCTGATAAAACTGTGTTAGCATATAAATCTTTACGAATATCAATATCGCATTTCATGATTGAATTAAATGTTGTTTCATGAATACCAGCAACTTCCATACCCTGTAATTATTCATTAGTAATTAATAAAAATATTAAAATTTTTTTTTTTTGCTTTACCAAAAATGATGGTTGAAAGAGTGATTCTGGACAACGGAAACGTTCATTACCAATGGTGATGACTTGTCCATCAGGTAATTCATAACTTTTTTCTAATGATGATGTTGATGCAGCTGTTGCCATTTCTTGTTCAAAATCTAATGCGACATAACATAATTTTTCTTTGATATCTCGGACAATTTCACGTTCAGCGGTTGTTACAAATGAATAACCACGTTCAGTAAGAATTTTCATTAAATAATCAGTTAAATCACGACCAGCTAAATCAAGACGAAGGATAGCATGAGGTAAAGCATAACCTTCATAGATAGGTACATCATGTGTAACACCATCGCCTGAATCAAGGACAATACCAGTTGTACGACCACTAGCATAAAGTGAAAGTACAGCTTGAATAGCGACATACATAGCTAGAAACAAAAAAAACAATAATGATTAAAATGTATTGTTGTTGTTTTTGTTTTTTCTATCAAATAATTTTACCTGGTGAATTAAATGTTTCAAACATAATTTGTGTCATTTTTTCACGGTTAGCCTTTGGATTAAGTGGAGCTTCAGTGAGAAGAACAGGGTGTTCTTCTGGTGCAACACGAAGTTCATTGTAGAAGGTATGATGCCAGATTTTTTCAATATCATCCCAATTTGTAATAATACCGTGTTCAATTGGATATTTAAGGGTTAAGATACCACGTTTTGATTGAGCTTCATCACCAACATAGGAATCTTTTTGACCCATACCAACCATAACAGCTTGGTGACGTGGTCGACCAACAACAGATGGAAATACTGATCGAGGAGCGTCATCACCGGCAAAACCAGCTTTGCACATACCTATTCATATTTAGGAAGAAAAAAAAACAAAAACCAAGCTCAATCAATTCAATAAACTTTATTATTTAATATATGTTCTTACCCGATCCATTATCGATAACAATTGCTGCAACGTCTTCGTCACACATATTTAGTCGTTAAAATAACGGTTTAGATGATAGTAAGATATGTATGTCTTCTCCACTGAGATTGTCCGCAAAAAGAACGGCAGTCGCGATATCGTCTTGAATATATCCAGATATACCAAAATAGTTCTCTTTTTTTTTCCTTTCCTTCTTTTGCTTTTCCATAGAATATGCATATCAATACATTCCAAATCGGGTAATACATATCGCTATGACAACGGTCGGCCGGAAGAAAAAAAAACAGATAGATAACCGCTTCCCGCCTCTTTGTGGTAGATATTTGTAGAATACATATTGTGGATATATTCAGACGTGTAGAACAAAATATAGATGTGTATTGATTGCTCTTCATTTTAGGAAAAATACTGCTGTGATTCGACACTATAATAACATATAGCAAGGATAAACAAAGAGAAAAAAAAGGAAGAACAGAAAAGAACTATCTTTGAATAGATGAAAAATGGAATTACATGCAGCGCAAGAGAGAAAGAGAGAAAATAGTACACAACAGCAAACATAACAACATTGAAGGATAACATCTCTAAGAGATTTACTGCCTATACCAATACACATTTACGATTGTTATTAATTAAACAAAACAGTTTTTAATGAAATACTTTGACTGATTGATCACAAAGACTAACGAGCAAAAACGACAAAGAGAGAGAAAGAAGAAAAAAATAGATATGAGCAAAATCGACTATTTTTAGATTTGTTTATCTGTATTCTAAAGGTCATTTGTAAATAAATCATGTGAACTGTTGTATGATTGCAAAGTGCCAATATTTGGTTTTTTTTCTTTCGTTGTCAAAAATCGACAAGAGAAACTTGTATCATCTTTCACGAAAATATTTTCACATCTAATTTCCAATCACCTATTGTTAATAATCAAAAAATCTCAATCTTCAAAATTTTGTTATCATTTTATTTATCCCTTCTTCTTATTTTTACTTTTATTAATACACAACAAAAAAAAAGAAAGAACACACGGGCATTAGAAAAACTACACAGAGAATGAAAAAAACTGTTCTATTTGTCTTTCGAAACACAAATAAATATTATCTGAATTGATTCAGAGCTGTTGCACTACGATTAAGTCGTAAATGAGAATGAACAAGATCATTAGTAGCTAATGCGCTCATTAATGAAAGTTCACCAGCTAATACTGTCGAACATATAAGACGAGCTAGTTGACAAGCATTATCACCAGGCATCTGTACTGAGGAACCATCAATACCAAGCATTTTTAGACAAGCTTGTTGAGCAGCTAATTTTGTACCACCACCAATAGTTCCTACTTCAACTGAATACATTGTACATGATATGTATAAATCACGTTTGTCAGGTCCAGTTGTTTCAAGCCATGTTAGACCTAAAATAGTTGTGTAACGTTGAACTTTTGTTTTTTCTTTTTAAATCAATCTTGCATATACATACAATTACTACTAGATACAACTTGAGCTGGATCTTGACCACAAGCAATAAACATAGCCTAATTGAATATATAATTAGTTATTATTGTTTTAAATTACTAAAACTTACAGCAACAATATTTGCTGCATGTGCATTAAATCCACCAATAGAACCAGCCATTATTGAACCAAGTAAATTTTTCGATTGATTTAATTCAACAAGTCGACTAGCATTGGTTTTAAGAACTTGTTCAAGTATTTCATGTGATATAACAGCTTCTGCTACAACTGATTTTCCTCGTCCATCAATCCAATTTAATGCTGATGGTTTTTTATCTGTTATAAAAAGAAACACAAAAAAATTAATTCTAATTAAAAATCAACGATAAGGTTTTGACTAAGGAACGGAATATATATTTAAGTTTGCAGAGAAGGAGTTCCTCTATTTGATAATTTATGCAATATAGTTATCCTGAACTTTTTAAATATTTGTATTGATTCAAGTCGTCGACTTTAGATTTTTTTTGTTTGTAAAAAAGTATTTTAATCTTCAAATAAATAACAGGAAAAAAACGACTAAAGTACTACTCGAGCAGACAAGGGAATTGATTGCACGCGCCCGAAAAATATCAAAACGTGATCCTATACGACATCTGTTGTTTCTACATCTTATACTTCCGTAAAAGAAATCATAATAAATTTCGGTCACGTTCAACTGTCTTGGGTTAGCTGATAAATTACGAGATAATGAATCTGAGTCAATCGTAGCCATATAGCATCTCAAATATCAATGATTTTCTTTAGATTGAGGCATGTATGCCAATATAAGCAAACTCTAAGTGGTTAATTATCGTTTTCTACATTTTTATATCCCTCGATCAGAATCGAATGTTTGAAAAACATATTTCACCCATGTACTCGTCATTTTCTCACAATCACGGCAACCTTTTTTTCTTTAAAATGAGGGTTAGGTGTGAAAAAGAAAAACTTGTTACGGCAACAAAGTAGATGAAAAGTAGTGAGCCGGCTGTTGCACTTTGTGCAGTCAGTCATCTTTCAATAAATGAGATTAAGGACACGAAAAAGTTAGCCTTAAAGAGTTCTACTGTAATACTAAGTTCTACTGCGTACTATTGATAAGTAGTGCCATCTATCAAAAGTATGCAGTAGAACTTGATAATTCATACACTATTCTATTACATAGAGAAAGTCTTTCTTTAAAAGCCTACATATATTTCTTTCTGTAGTCAAAAAATCATCGACAAAACTCATTATCGCCTTTGAATATATTTAATTTACCTATACAATAATTTCCACTGATACTAATTATATCAACTGTTTCAGACCATTTTGATTTAATAAGTGTTAATACAGCTTCAACACCTTTTGATAACATATTCATACCCATAGCATCACCAGTTGTTGCAACAAAACGAACAAATAAATAATGTGCAGCTAAATTTCGTTTTATATGGGTTAAACGTGCATATGAACTTGTTTGATCAAAACATTGTTTTATTTCATCAAAATTTGTTTCAAGCCATTCGTATGCATCATGTGCTTGTCGAATAGTATTAAATTTAAGTACAGGACCACGTGTCATACCATCATTAAATATTATTGTTTCAATACCTGTATTGGACATTGTTACAGCTTTACAACCACGATTGGTACTAGCAACAAGTGCACCTAGGGAAAAAAAACAAAAAGAACAACATAACAAAATAGGTTACTTTTAAACTTAGACATTTAATATTTGACAAAAAAAACAAAAATTTTACCTTCAGTTGTAGCCAATGGTATATAATAATATTTATCATCAACACGTAATGGACCAGCATAACCAACTGGTATTTCAACATATCCAATAACATTTTCACAACATTGATTAACAACTAATGAATAATCATAATGTTCATAAGGTAATGAATCAAGTGATGATAAAGTATTTTTTGTCGATATTAATTGTTCATTTAATAAAAGACGACGAATATGTACTGCTCGTAATAATGGTAAATATCTTTCAAGATTATGTGCAGCTAATGTTTTAGATTTAATCATTGCTAAAATTTCATCATCAGTCAAAGTTGAATAATCAATAACTTTTGTTGGCTTTGTATTTAATTCAGATGGTTTCGTTGAAGGTACTTCAATAACTGGTGACGATGTTGAATGCGAAAGACTTGTACGAGCTATCAAGCGTTGATGAACGGTATTATGAGAATGAGAATCTAGATAATAGAAAAAAAAAACAAGCTGTTAACTTCATTCGTGCATGATTAAAACGTGAAACAGATGCAACTGCTGTTGCTAATCACAGGAAGATTTTTTTCTTTAGTCTATCTTGAAACACATTTTTTGCCCTCTTTTTACTTAATTTTTCAAAACTACAAAAAGAAACTAGTTAATCTATTGTAACGAGCTATTGTTGATATACAATTTGTAGAGAGAGTAGGGGTGCAGATTCTTACTCTATATACTTCAATACTCCTTTAAGGTCATGTTTTACAAAAAATAAGTTATTTGTTTACCATCATTTTTTGATATTGTTGATTTTTGTACAATGCCTGATTGTTTAACATTTTCATTTGTTATTGTTTCATCTTTATCTTCATCAACTATTTTACCAATAAATATATCAAATATTCTTGTATATTTAGACATTTCACGTCCAGGTGGTGCAACAACAAGACACGATAAACAAATTGTTGCCGTTAAACCTAAAGCTAATGTTTCACATAATGATAAAGCTGATATTTTTAACCCAAATAAAGCTAAACCCATTATTTTAATAATTTTTAAACGATGTAAAACAGAATTAAATTCATCTGTATTTGTTGTTAATATAGTTGAAGAATTTTTCTTATCCGAATTTGTTGTGGTTGAATCAATAAATAATGAATAAAGAAAACAAAGCATACATGGAAAAACAGCTATTTGTGAACACCAACTTGTCATAACACATATACTTGCCATATTACTTAATGCAGTTATTGTTGCAACATCAGTTAAACGTCCTAACCGAACAAGTAATAATGCAAATACATGATCCACACATACATGACGAAGCCAACGACGTAAAACAAAATTTGGTGGTTGTTGTTGTTGTTGTTGTTTATCATTTGAATTTGTTGGAAGAAGTATTGACGCTAATGCAGCACATTGTGTTGCATTCCATAAAAATGATGATATTGATAATAATAATGTTAAATGTATAATTGTTGGTGAAAAATAATTTGTTATATTTAAATTAGAAAAATGAACTAATGAATTTGGTTGAAATATATGAAAAAATGTTTCACAACTAAGACAAGTACATATAAATGATATAAATAATATGAGTCGATGTGTATGTGGACGTATAGAATATATTTGAAATAATAAATAAGCAACGGATGTTAATGCAACTGTATAAAATGTTGAATCATAAAAACGAACAGTTGTCGTCGTCATTTGATCTTGATCTGATGACACTAAGACAATAATTAAAAAGTAAAGTATATAAAAAAAGAAGTATGCGTACTTTCTTTATCTATTTAGTTTAAAAATAAAAACGAACGCAATATGTGGGCTATTCGTTTGAAAGCGCCTACGTCAACTATTCATGTAACTAAGACTGCCGAGGCAATGAGAAATAAAAAATAATGTTATTTATTTGACTTCGATCGATTCTTTTATTTTTTTACCTTTTACGAATATTCCGTTCTTGTGACGTATGATGAAATGAATAATATGTTAGAGTACAAACTATAAACTACCTATTTGAAACTTCCGAGCACAACCTAGTTTCGTTAATCTGTCCTTAGAAACTTTTGAAATAAGGATGACTCTAGGTGTTTTCTAGCAACAACTTTTACTGAAATTTTCTGAGTTGGCAAATATTATTCTGCCTTTCTTACTCACTCATTTCTTCTTTTTTTTCTACTAACATTACTAACATTACACATAACTAACAACAAAAAAAATGACTCATTTTTATCTGGTTCTTCTTCCACCAATCAAAATCATTAGCGTAAGAACGAAACGATAAACGGTTGCCTGTTTCCATCTAAAAAACGGCATTGATTTCCATGTCGCTACTATCTATGCAACGAAAGAAAATCCTATGTTGATTATTTCGGTCCTTGAAAATGGATCCGAAATTCGTACAAAATCTTCATAAACAATACATATCACGTATTGATTTATTTTTCGAGTAAACCCAAGGACAAGTAAATATCGCATCTATTGATAGGCACGAAAAGAAAAAAACGAGAGAGAGAGAATGTTGATGTTCGCTAATGTAACAAGAAAGTACGAACAAGCGATTACCAAAACAACAAACCATGCATATATAGTTATGTAGTGATATAGTAAAAATATAACAATGAAAGAAAGGAATAAAAAACAAATGCATGAGTAGAAAGACAATAATAGAAAAAAAATACCTTACAATAATGATAAGAAAAGACCATCTAAATGAACTGCTACTAAGAATCACAGTAAAAAGATAATAGCCATTTTTTCACTGTTTTCAAACATTAATAATTTTTTTTATTTTCGATAAGAAGTGGCAAAGTTAAGAAATACGATTAAGTCAACATGCATTTTGCCGCAAGTAACATTATCGAAGTTGTTGGTGATATTCTAAGATGATATCTGCAATATCTCTCTCTATACGGTATATATCTCTAAAAAGCGAGGAAAAACAACAGTGGCCAAAACAAAGATCACTGGTATAGATCGTCAAGAGAAATTCATGAATAAGGTACACAATATGCGACTTGAATAAACTTTTCACTGGGCATTTATAAAAGAAGAGCCTATTTTGTTCTGGTACTTACTTATAAAGTGAAACGTTGAACGATAAATACGTGAAAAATTGTATTTTGTCTTCATAACTTCACAATCGAAATCAACTTGATCATTATACAGCATGATTCAAAGATTTTTTTCAAATAATTGGCGATATCGCAGAATCAAAGATAATAATAGCTATCGAATAATGTCTGAAACAGTTCAAAAAAAAAGTTAATTAGAACCTTAGATGAATAATAACAAAAAATTTAGTTAGAAAAAAAAAGAGTAAAATACATTTCGATCAAATATTCAAGTATACTCTGCTCAGAATCATCAATATAATCATTAAGAATTATAGATTATTAAATATCAAAGTGAGTATCATCATGCTTTAGAAATAGTGATGAGCAGAAGTGTTTTGCTCATATCTAATTGAAAACACTGTAATAATTTGTTGTAGAGGCTATATAAAAACTGTGATACTAATAATTGTTGTTTCTACAAGATTGGAGACAATTCTCATAACGAATTTAGCCTTTCATCTTTTATGTACTGTTCTGTACTATATGTGATCTTTTATTTTTATCAGTTTACATACCTCAGAATTTTATCAATGGTTGTTGTACGTTATAAAAAGAAGTATCAAGGCATGCAAGTACAGTAACAGAAGAACGAAAACGAAAGGAAAAAGATATTTGAAGAAGGCTAAACTCTCAGGACAAATATATATATATATATACGAAGATACGTGTACTACTCAAGAGAGAATCACGCCATGCTTCAAACAATTGCATATTTTCGGAAGATGGTCGCACCATACATAAGATAAAATAACATATGTTATCAACAGTACGAATGATTAATAAAGTCACCGAAGGTATTTTCATAACACAGGTGACCATGAAAATTTGCGTTATTTGAAAACACTAAAACTCAATACACTTGTTTTAGCAAGATGTATATTTAGATTTCTGAAAAACAAGAATTTCCAAAACAAAAAAAAAATTTCCTATGTAGCATATTTTCTACAGCTCACCACTAGATGAGAAATTAATTTCTCTGAAAATTCAATAGTTACTAATACACTTTACAGATATTTCTAATAATGTCGGAAATGAAGGGCCCTAGCACAAAAATGATTAAACTATTCTGGACATTAGTCCGTGCTAATGACTTAGCCTATCGAATGCAAAGCTTTGCAATTCAGGTCTCAACCTGTCAAGCCGTACTTTAATACTCTTAATAAAAATTTTCCAATTGGAATCGAATAGTGTCTTTAAAAAACGATATTAAAAATGCGCATTTCTGAAAATCGTGTTGTTTTGTTTTCATCTAAGGATATATTCTCCGAACTTTGCTCTTTCGAAAAAAAATATATCGAAATCAGTACGATGTTACATGGTTGAGAAATAAACTTTGGCATTCTCTCGAAAACTTTCGCACTACTAATTAATTATAAAAAGACCATAAAAAAAGCACCTTGCAACAAAAATTAGACAAAGTCATTCATTATTCACTAGAATATAATTCAATTGTCATAACTATAATTTTTTATTGTGATTATCATCTTTAAAAGGAGTATTTTTCAGGTTGTTTTATGATATAACATAATTATCTTCTCCACTTGAATGTTTTCGCTTTTTCCTCGGTATTATTGATGTGCTAGCCTTTTCTTCTTGTCCATAACTCAGTTAAAGAAGACACTAGTTATTTTAACTCAATGTTGATAAATTTTGATTTATAAATAATAATGGATTTATTTTGCTAAAATACACTTACAGCGATAATTTTATTTTTAATTGAAGACCATTGAATATTGTGCAAAGTGCGACGTTGACAGAAACTAGTGACTCATTATGATAGTTTTTCTCAAACACGGAAAATCAAATACTAATAGGAACTCCGAAAGTATTAGGACTATGAGAACTTGGAAGTGATGAATGCCTGTTCGTAATGTCTTTTATTATGAAGTCACATTCTATATATAGGTGGACGCGATGAAAATATCCATGATGATGACCAATATAGGAAAAATCCAAATTACAAGAAGAATACAAAAGAGAAATTTCAATATATGATAACACAGAATAGGAAGGGAAAAATCCATATGAGAAGAACGAAAAGAAAAAGTGAACGCACTCGGGGAGCCCTAGCTGAATGGGGTACGTCTCTGACTCGGAACTAGAGCGTATGAGGTTCGATTCCTCCTCCCCGAACAAGCACACGGTCTTAAAAATATATTGTACAAACTTATTGGCTTTGATCTTATCGTCCAAAAACAATCTGTTTAGACACATCATATATTATCTCGGTGGAATGTATGTGCACGTTGGAAGGTCGTGTTTCAATGTTTCGTTGAATGGCCATATAAAACATGCATTATATTCCTTGCTTTGTTCCGCTATGCTTATGCTTGCTTTTCTCTCTCTTTGTGTAACTTGTTAATTGTAAGCTACACTGTCCCTTTAGGACCAACATGGTCAGAGGGTTTAATTTCGCATAATAAAAAAAAAAAAAAAGTGAACGCACTGTGAAAGAACGATGCACTGAGATAGAAATATCACGAAATGAAACTTGTTCATTTCATAACAACAGTACTGAAAACCTAGAAAATTGTTTCCGTATAACACTACCGTTATGTCCAATACTTTGGGATCCGAATCGTACTGACTTCGGGACCAACTCGGCAGGCTTTAGCCAGTGAAAAAACATCATCGAATTCATAGTAATTAGTAGTAAATGAGAATGAATTTTACAGTGAAATTCGAAAAAAATACTGAAAAATAAACAAATTTTCCATCAGGTGTCGAAAAAGTTACGGTCATTATCATGAAATTCTAATAGTTTGAAAAATTTCTTTAACATGAATGTGAATCAATGAAAATACCGATCTATTGGAAATGAGAAGCCCATTCTTAAAACTGAAAGAATTTCCAGAAATTTCGATAGCTAACAAAATTCCACATAATGAATCATATTACGAAAAATTCTTTTCACTTAGGGCGGGAGTAGACTCTTCGTTTTGTAGAGATTTATGTATTTATCTATCTACATTAAAGTTAGAGAAATAATTGAAACTTCCATAATTGCTGAAATTTCAATATATTGGTTCCAACTACTTTTGAATACGATGGCAGAAATTATAATAAGTTCAGAACTTCAAATATTCTTTTTTTTAGTTAGTATTTTCTAAAATTTCATCATTCAAGATAGAATTTCTTATTTGATTTTGGAAAGTTAAATAAATACTTACACATTATACAGCTTTTTTCTATAAAAAAAAACGTGTTATTTTCTAACAACAACACAGTGTATTTACACCAATCATTAACATGATATTCTTGCATTGACTTGATTTCCTGTTTGCCAAGCATTGTTTTATGAACACAACTGATCAGTTTATCACTTTTGATATAATTTATATAAATAATACTCTGATTATAGTATGAGAAAATTCAATATTATTCATGTTTTCGTATAAAACTATTGTAAATACCATTCAGATTTTTACAAAAAAAAACAAATAGAAAAATAATTATGGATCATCATGAGGAGCAATTGTGTTGAAATTAAAACATGAAGTATGAAAGATTCACGAGAACTCAAATTTATCCTCTCATACTTTTATGTTTTTCAAGCTATTTTGACCTTCACATTTTGCGATGTAGATGGAT